CTTCCTCCACGACTACCCCTCAGTGTCAGCACTCAGTGAGTCCACACACTCATCCAGCATCAGCATCCGTCCTCGGAGACACTTTGAGGACGTGACAGCAGCTGTGGAAGAGCTCAGAGATGGACTCCAGGACGTTCTGAGGGACGCGTGGACAAACATCTCACTGGCCATCACTGACGTGGATGTTCTACAGTCAAAACCAAAACCAGAACCAGAACCAGAACCAACGACCAGAGCTGGGTTCTTAAGATATTCACGAGAAATCACTCTGGATCCAAACACAGCAAACAGAAAGTTGTTATTATCTGATGGGAACAGAAAAGTGAAACGTATGTATCAACAACAGTCTCATCCTGATCATCCAGACAGATTCACTAACTATTGTCAGGTTCTGAGTAAAGAGAGTCTGACTGGACGTTGTTACTGGGAGGTGGAGTGGAGAGGAGGAGAAGTTTTTGTAGCAGTTTCATACAAGAACATCAGAAGAACAGGGAGCATCAATGAATGTGGATTTGGATATAATGACAAATCCTGGGCTTTACATTGTGACACCAACAGTTGTATATTTCTGTACAACAACACTGAAACTCCCGTCTCAGATCGTCCTTCCTCCAGAGTAGGAGTTTACCTGGACCACAGAGCAGGTGTTCTGTCCTTCTACAGCGTCTCTGACACCATGACTCTCCTCCACAGAGTCCAGACCTCGTTCACTCAGCCGCTACATGCTGGAGTTTGGCTTCCTTGTGGTTCTGGATCCAGTTTAGAGTTGATTAAACCTGAATAGACTGAAGTGTTTAAAGAGCAGCTGGTTCAGATGTTTGAGTTTCCAGCTGGTTCAGTCTCATGGTACCAGTAAAACACCACGACTTGTTTGGTGGAGTTTCACTTTTTTTTTCTTTTCACCACAACTATACCATAAAATAATCGTCTTTGAATTTATGATCAAACAACCTGAAACTGTCCAGGTTTTCCCTCGTTTAGATGTCCACTATGGATACTGGTACATTTCTTGATTTAAACAACGTGCAGTCTTTTTGTTTTACTGTTGATACGCCATTAATTTAACGAACCACAGCAGTTAATTAAAACAGGACATGTTGTATTCTTCTATTAATACAGCCAGTAAAATGTTCTTAAATAGTAAAAGCGACCGACTGAAGCCAGAACCGCAGCCGATCTGTGGACACAAACCGGCCTTCGTTCTGCGACGGGTTCGGACTCGCTCAGGTCGGAGGTTTTCCCGCCCAGAGGCACCGTTTGACTCTTATTGTGGCGGGACGCACCCGAAGCAGGAAGACGAGGGCACGCAGCAGAGCAGAAGAAAATCGATTTAAAGGCTGTTTTCATTAAAGTTAAAGCAGCAGAGATGTGTTCAAACATCCAGGAGGAACCAGGAAACGTCCTGATGACCAGAGAACAGCTCCGGTTTGCTTCACTTGTTCTGCTGTTAAATAGGAGTTTGTTTGTTGGTTTCTTTTCTTGTAGATGTCTTATTAGATCAGATATGGTTGTTGTTTTTGTCTTTTTCATTCATTATTATTACATGATCGCTTTTAGAAAATGTCCTGCTGTTGTTTTTTAGTAAAAATAAATCAGAATTTACTGTAAATATGGAAACAAACGACAGAAAATGTATATGATATATATATATATAGCTTATTTTAGATTTTAGAGTCACCTTTAAAATACAGATTTTTATTTTTATTTTTAATCATTGTGGACGTAGGAACCAGTGAATCTGTATTTCTGTTATCAGGTTCAGGGGCAGATTGATTATTGTTGTGGTTCTGATATTATCTTGTTGAACACATTGACTGGAGGACAGCGGCTCACCTGGATGGGCGGGATTCAGGCTCACCTGTTCACCTGTTCACCTGTTCACCTGTTCACCTGTTCACCTGTCGGAGGGAGGAGGGAGGAGGGAGGAGGGGGGTGAGCTGGGTCGCTGTATTTTCTGTTGACGGCTTTATTAACTTGATCTCTGTGATGACTTTGATTTGGAGTTTGCACACGTTGTTATGAGTTAATGATCTTGTTTTACTTTAATAAAAAGCTAAAC